GTCTCCTCCTCTCCCTCTCTCTCAATGTTGCTTCCCCTGAGCAACATTGCCTGGCTTTGGTGCTTTGGGGGGGGGTTCTGTGCCCTGGGAAATGTTATTTGGGCTGGACCTGCAGTGAAGATCAAGCCAGGGATGCCTTGGTTCTCATCTGAGCTGTTTAACCGTGTTCTCCTCCCAGGGCAGATTTCCCTTCCACCATCCCCCTCGTCTCACAGCTGCAATCCCAGATTTCTTGGAGTAGGCACTGAAATATGTCCAGGCAGGGACAAACCAGAGCTGGAGGATGAGGCGAGGGCTGCTCTCCTGCGGACCAACATTGCCATCTCCCGGTGCAGCTCCATCCCTGCAAACTCCGCAGGGCCGCTCCCGGCGCTCAAGGTCGCCGGCTCCGGGCACGCTGCAGGAAATCCAGGTAAGCAAGACAACTTCCCCAGTCCTCTCCCTGCCTTGGAGCTGAGGGGGTTTTCCCAGGATCGGCCTCAGGGCACGGGTTCTGGAGCCCCACCCCGCCGATCCCGCTGCTCCAGCCCTGGCTCCTCCACCTCGGAGTTGTGTTAATTCTCATTTTCTCGAGCTTCACTAATAATTTCCCATGTGGCACCATATCAAATGCTTTATTGAACTCCAGATAGATTAGATCTACCAAATTTCCCTTGTCTGGAAAACCAATTATCTTATCAAAGGAAGATGTCAGCACAGTCTGGCACAAACTGCCTTTGGTAAACCCGTGTAGCACTTTATCTCATTTTTCTCAGTGCCTTTAATTAATGTTTCCTTCAGAATTTGTCCTGCAATCTCGTGTCTGACTAAAAAGGGGTTAAAACAGCCAGAGCTGGCTCACTCATGTTTTTCATTTTCCTTATCTTCCCTCAGTTTCCCTCTGATCCAGCAGCTCAGAGGGTCTCAAGCAGTGCCATCTGACCCACAAAACTCATCAGAAGTTTCTGCCCTCCCCTCTGCAAACCTTGTGGTGCTTCTCCTTGGATGGGATGGAAATCCCCCAATCCGTCAGGATTCCTCCAGGTCCCCTCCAGGGTTTTCACTGCACATGTGGCTGCCTTCAGTCCCCACCTCTTCTCCCAGGTTCCTCTCTGCCTTCCCTCCCCAACTCACCTTTATCATCAAACACTAATTATCTGTTTAATTTGGAGGGAATGCTGGGAAGGAAATTCCTGGAAAACCAGGGAATAGCCTGGTCCTGCTGTTGCTGGTCGGCAGTGCCCCTTTCGACCCAAATGTACATATTTCTCTAACTTTCCAAGGGGCTCTAGACTTCCCTCACTGTGAAGATGAACCTTTCTGCCACTCTGGCATTTTTGTCCCTCCCTGTCCTCTCTAATGTGGAGATCACAGAATCCCAGGATGGGTTGGGTTGGAAGGGATATTTAAAGCCCATCCAGTGCCATGGGCAGGGACACCTTCCACTAGCCCAGGTTGTTCCAAGCCACGTCCAACCTGGCCTTGGACACTTCCAGGGATCCAGGGGCAGCCACAGCTTCTCTGGGAATTCTGTTCCCTCTCAGGGAAGAACTTCTTCCTTCTATCCAGTCTGAATCTGCCCTCTGTCAGTTTGAAGCAATTCCTCCTTGCCTTCTTGCAACAGGACCTATTAAAACTCTGTCCTCATCTTTGTTATAAACTTCCTTTAGTATCTGGAGCCAGAGTGTCGCTCATGGGAAGGTCTTTTCCCATCTCTGATGTCCTGGACACACAGGGCAGAGTTAATGAGGGTGAGTTCTCCATTAATTGCAGTCTCTAAAATTCAATTCTAATTTTTCTCAGCATGACATGACTGGAATGAAGGTGACAGGGAAGTTGTGACAGACCAAGGCTCTGCAACTTGCACAGCCATTCCAGGGGGAAATCCTGGATTCTGGAGAGGGGTGTGCTGAGATTGTTCCAGCAGAGCACTTTGCCATCCCACCAGGGCCAGAAGTGTAAGTTTTGGCCACCATTTGGGGATGATCCTGTGCAGGGCCAGGAGTTGGACTCCAGGATCCTTGGTGGACCCTTCCAACTCGACATCTTCTGTGATTTGTAGTTCAAGTCCCCTCCAGCCCTCAAGGGGTCCTTGCCCTCATAGCCTGGGGAGCTGAAGATGCTCCCAGTGATCCTCTTTGCCATTGTGCATTCCTTAAAAAAAAAAAAAAAAAAAAAAATCCTGGAAAATGCCGCCTTCCCGGCAGTCTGCTAGTTTTGTTTTGGCAGATGCTCAACCAAATGTTGTGTTTTGGCACGGTGGGATCCCATCTTTTTGGATTCCATCCCGTTGGACTGGTGTCAAAACGTGCTGACAGTCAGGCTGGGCCTCTTGGAGAAATCTGGGGTTCTGTTTTCCTGTATCATGACACCAGGGCAGCTCTTGGGTCGGGTGGGAAGGGAGGTCAGGAGGGAGCCTGGAGAAGGCAGGGAGGGGACAGTGGGGAAGGACAGTGAAGAGGGACTCTAGTTCTTCCCTAAAGCCCTCTGGGATGGCAGGGGAGACCAGGCTGTGCTCCCAGGAAACTCTGCAGCCCCTTCTGCCTTAATCCCACTTCCCAGGCTGCCAGGGAGCTGGAGGAAAGCCATCCATCCCAGCCCACCTGCTCCAGCCCAGAGCTCTCCAGATCTAGCTTGCAAGTGCATCATTTATGGCCAGTTGGTTCCTCTCCTGGTTCTTTGTAAAGCCTGGGTTTAGTTCAGTTGGTTCAGTGCTCCTGACAAGGCTGTGGGTTTGATCCCAGCTTAAGAGTTGGACTTGATCCTTGTGGGTCCCTTCCAGCTGGGAATACTCTGTGAAAGGAGAGGAGAGGGAGGAAGGAAGGAGCAGCAGCAGAGAAAGCCCCACCCCCAAAGTACACGGGCCAGGGAGGCCCAGAGGGGCACGGGCACAAAGGGGTGGTGATAAGAGGCTTGGAGCAAACAGCCCTGTCATCCTCCATCCCAGCCTGCAGCAGCACCTGGTTCCCCCAGGATTTATTTCCCTGCCTCTGGACGTGGGCTAAAGCGAGCAGGGAATGTGTGTCTCCAAGAAAACAAGGCAAACCTCACCGTTTTCAAAGCATGTGCCCCAAACTCAATTTGCCTGAAAGAAAGAACCCTGGTAGTGTTATACACAACCTCATAATGATTTTATTTGTTATGATTGTTGCTGTTGTTCTGGTTAATACCTTTCTCACTTTAAAAAAACCCCAACAAACAACACAGCCCTGTGGCAGCCACTACAGAAATATCATTTGCTTGTGTTTTTCTTGAGGTAGTTCCAGTGCTGGAGGCAGCAAGTGCTTACAATCACTCAGTACATAATAGAGATATTCATTCCAATAATAATAATAATAACAACAACATTTATTATTTTTGAAATATGAACCTGATGAATTCATGAATATAGAAAGCTCTTGTTGCTGCCTGTCCACCAAATGGTAATAAAATCAAGCCTGAGTTCCTGATAGGCTTTTTTCTTTTCTGGAGATTTCTAATGCACTTATTCCAGAGGTGCATCCATCACTGCTCAGCTCCTGGCTCCTGGTCCCACTGTGTGTTTGGAGCACAGGGATCAGTGTGAGACAGGTTAACCTGTGCTAATAGTGCTTCATAAAATCCTGGGATAGTTTGGGTTGGAAGGGGACTTAAACATCTATTTCCCACCCCCTGCCATGGGCAGGGACACCTTCCACTAGTCCAGGTTGCTCCAATCCCCATCCAGCCTGGCCTTGGACACTTCCAGGGATCCAGGGGCAGCCACAGATTCTCTGGGAATTCTGTTCCAGTCCCTCACCAGCCTCATAGGGAACAATTTCTTCCTCATCTTTAGTGTTTACAATTATTTAGAATTGTTTGCTGTGTTTAAAAAAAGCCTTTGCTTAGAGGCAAACCAGCCCCAGGTGTGGAGTTTTCTCACTCTCCAGTGTTTCTCTCTTTTAGGGGCTCTGAGGGGTCCGGCAAGGCTGAGGTTGCAGCAGTGGGGAGGATGTGGGTGGGTTTGCTCTGGCCCATCCTGCATCTGTTGTTGACGGTGGGATCTCTGCCCTGCGTGGACTGACACAACTTGGATTTGGCAGCTGAAATACAATCTGCAGGGTGGAAACCTGTACTTTGGTGCTGGTCAGGGAAGCAGAGCTGTTCCTAATGGCAGGAGGAAAGAAGGTGGCTCTGCCAAATGAGGCTCCTGAGGTCTAATGGTGTTTGCTCTCTGATTTAGCAGCACAAAAAGCCTTGGTGCTGTGGAGGCAGATAAAAACACCCCCAACTAACCCATTTCCTTCTACTCTGCAGCTGGGAGAGAGAACTGGAAGGGTAAAAGTGACAAAATTTCTGTGCTGAGGTCACGACAGTTTAACTGGGAAGTAAGATGTGGGGAATTTTGGCTGGACCGAGCCCCTGAGGTGGAGCGAGAGGTTGGCTGAGAATGGAGGCCCTGGTCTTGACAACGTACTGATGCATCCTGAGAGAGCAGAGGAGCAGCAGGAGAGCTGTCCCGTGGGAACAGGGAACACTGTCTCATGAGAACGAGGACTTGTTTTGAACAGAGTGACTGAGAAAAATATAAACATCAAAGGAAAACAGGGACAGGTGCACAGAAATGTTGCGAGAAGTGGAACTGAGAAGGTCCAACTAAAATCCACCTATTAGCTGTAAGAATTGTAGTTTGTGTGTTTAAATTGACTTATCTGTGTAATATACGTGTACCAAAAGAGCTGTATTTAAGAGGCTGTAAATTGCAGCTTGTGGCTGCTGCTGCTTCCTTTTTCTTTCCAATAAACTTTCTTGCTGAATATTATATGTCGTAGTCCGTCCCAACAACAACAGTGAGAAGTTTGTGTGCACAGGCAAACAAAATGAAGGAATCCATTCCTCGCTTCCTGTGATTGTTTCGGTCTCGGCCTTCCTGGAGATGAACTTGTAACCAGGAAAGAACTAGGGAAGTGACCAAGGAAGTGTTCCACGCTATTCCTGTACGTAACCTGAGGTATAAATAAAGCCAACTAGAGAGACCTCTCTCTCTCTCTCTTCTCCCGGCGAGGTTTGGGAACGGTGGGTCCCTGTCTCGGCCTTGCTGATCCGGAGCTGAGGCGGCAGCGACTGCCGTGTCTGCCACGCGTGAGGGGACAGCGCCGGGCCGGGCCTGGCCGTCCTGCCTTTCTCAAGGGAAGTGGTGAGATTTTGCCAGTTCTTTGTTTTGTTGGTTACCGGGTTTTTCGATTGTGCACCTGTTGATCGACATGGCCGAAGCTGAGATGTTGTTTTAGGGAGTCCTCGTATCAACAGAACTGATCTACTCTGGCCTCCAATCGGGAGGTCTGGAGACACACCATCTATAACGCTGCTGATGCCTTTGAGAACGCACACAGGATCACTCTGGAGGAGAAAAGACAATGCAGAAAGAATCATGCCTTGCAGAATTTACCACCTAAGGAGTCTTTCTGCTGTGCCTTTTGCAACTGGACATGTCTATCTCGTATTGGCCTTTTTAGCCACCAGTGCGCTTGTAACAAATGTGGGTAGAGCCCTCCCCAAATCTTTGTTCACAAAACCCAGCCATGACTGACATGATGATTGTGCATACCTGTTTTGGTTTTGTCCATTTTTGTCCTTTTTTTTGTCCCTTTTCCCTTCCCCTCTTTCCCTTTTGGGAGCGATTTGGGGTTCCCGTGTTCATATGTACTTAGCAGCTTAATTGTGTATATGTGAAATATGTAAAATATATATATTTTATATAGCTTTTCTATTCCGTTGGTTTTTTTCTTCTCTCTCTCCTGGGAGCTTTTTCTTTGTAGTCTGTGGGGTTTGGTGGGAAGCCAGCTACAACCAGCTACACTTCCAAGGGCAGGCAGGTGTTCAGCCATTCCCAGGAAAGCAGGGCTCCATCCTGGGCACAAGCGGCTTGGGAAGGCAAATGCCCTCACTCCAGATATTCCTCCTTTCCTCCTTCTTCCCCAGCTGGGCATGACAAACACAAAATTAACTCTGTGCCAGCCTCAACCAGCACAAAGCTTTATCTTTAAGCACAAAGATGTTTCTTTCCAACTGCCTGGGACTTGGCCCAGCTCAGCTCCTTGTGTTCCTTCCTCTGATATTTTTCTCCCCTGTGCATTCCTGGCCCTGCCTTTCCCTGAATGGATATCCCCCTTTCCCCTGGATTGATATCCCCCTTTCCCCTGAATGGATATCCCCCTTTCCCCAAATGGATATCCCCCTTTCCCCAGATGGATATCCCCCTTTCCCCTGACTGGATATCCCCCTTTCCCCTGGATGGACATCCCCCTTTCCCCTGAATAGATATCCCCCTTTCCCCTGACTGGATATCCCCCTTTCCCCTAAATGGATATCCCCCTTTCCCCTGACTGGATATCTCCCTTTCCCTGAATGGATATCCACATTTTCCCTGGATGGATATCCACATTTTCCCTGGATGGATATCCCCCTTTCCCCTGGGAGATGCAGCTCTGAGTCCCCCTGTTCAGAGCAGGGAGAAGAACTCCACTCATTTTTGTCCATATGCATGTAAGTTATGAGTGGTTTATTGTTTTCCAAGCACCAGCTGTTGATTTTTGGCGAAATAACTACGAAAATGTTATTTTAGAGCTTCTCTGAGCTTTCTGCTGTATCAACACAATTCACAAAAAGTCTGAAGCTTTGAGTAAATACCCAAAATACAAATGCCAGTAGTTAGGAATAGCAAGAAGGATGGAAAAGCCTGAGAACCCAACCTGAGCAGACACTTTCTCTGTGGCTGTGGGCAGCCTCCTGTGGCGTTCCAGTCGGGAATGTTGCTGGGAGCACGTTGGATGTGCAGCAGCTGGAGGGGTGGAGGGCTGTGGGAGCTCACTGTGCTGATGTGACTGGGGGTGGTTTTTGCCTCCCCTGCCTGTGTCACCCGGCCCTTGGGATGCAGGAGGTGCAGGCGCGGGCTCTGCTCCCAGATTCCCATATTCCTTGGAAAACAGACTCCCCCAGGGGGCAATGCAGAGCAGCAGCAGCACTTTGGCTGCTCCCTGGATTTAGTTTTTTTGGGAGTGGGTGTGAAGCACTCACGGTCCCAGTCCCTGTGACCTGGCAGGACACGGGGCTCCCGGGGGTGTGGGAGCCTCTTGGTGTCCCCCAACTGACTTTTGGGGATCCAAACCCCCCAAGTGAGGCCGTGGCAGTGGCTGCAGGGAAAAGTCTCCTCCTAAATCCAGGGCACGGGTCTCAATAGCCCATCAGGGCAATGGGGGGAGCTGGGGCAGCAGGGGGGTGTTTTCACGTTATGGAAGATAAAAACTGGACTGGAACTTTTAATAAAACAAATAAAAATAATAAATATATATAAGAATATAATAAAAATATTTTAACTTTATGTTAAATAATATAAAATAATATATTGCAATACCAATTGATTATATAAATAAAATATTATAATGTTTTATCATTAAAATGATAGTAGATGAAATATTATATTTTATTAAATTATAATAAATAAAATATAATGATATTTTAAAATAAAATATAATAAATAAAATATAATATATAATATTTTAATGTATAGTACGTGATATTATTACAATATTATATTATTGTAATTGTAACTATTATATTGTTATACATTATAATTTTATTATTTCATTATATATATTACCTATTAATTACATAGTATTACATTATGTACTTTTACATAATAATATTACATAATAATACATCCTAAGTATCATTACATAATTATAATAATATAACTATAGATCATATAATTCATTAATTTTATATATTTGTATAAAATTACATTATAACAATATGTATATACGCTACGTTATACACATAAAAGTAAAATAAAAATAAATAAAATAATAAATAAACCCTTCTAAATAGGTGCCATCTACTCCTATACATGTCCTGCCATCGATGCCTCCTCCAGGCTCAGCTGGCACTGAGAAGGGAGGGATGGATTGCCTTGGAATCATAGAGTGGACTGGGTTGGAAGGGACCTTAAAACCACCTTGTTGCTGTCCCGGGCAGGGATGTCACCAACTGCACTGGAGGGATGTGCTGATCCCTGTGGAGCCTCAGCTCTGGAGCTGGGCACTGTCCCAGATGGATGGAGGGATGGATGGAGGGATGGATGGATGGATGTGCTGATCCCTGTGGAGCCCCAGCTCTGGAGCTGGACACTGTCTCTCCCAGATGGATGGATGGATGTGCTGATCCCTGTGGAGCCCCAGCTCTGGAGCTGGGCACTGTCCCTCCCAGATGGATGGATGGATGTGCTGATCCCTGTGGGGCCCCAGCTCTGGAGCTGGACACTGTCCTGGATGGATAGATGTGCTGATCCCTGTGGACCCCCAGCTCTGGAGCTGGACACTGTCTCTCCCAGATGGATGGATGGATGTGTTGATCTCTGTAGAGCCCCAGCCCTGGAGCTGGACACTGTCCCAGATGGATGGATGTGCTGATCCCTGTGGATCTCCCCGCTCTGGAGGTGGACACTGTCCTGGATGGATGGATGGATGGATGGATGGATGGATGGATGGGTGTGTTGATCCCTGTGGAGCCCCAGCTCTGGAGCTGGACACTGTCCCTCCCAGATGGATGAATGTTGATCCCTGTGGAGCCCCAGCTCTGGGCACTGTCCCTGTGGCTCCTCCCAGCCCGCTGTGAGCGATGGCCCCATGGTGTTTGCCCAGGGAGAGGGTTCCTCGTGCCGGGTGTGCCGGGACACGTGGGCTCCTCACCTACGTCACTGCCCCGGGGATTGTCATGGAACCAGAGCCCTCCTGGCATCTTGGCCTGGGTTGTTATCTGCTGATTAAGCCCTGGCTATCTCCCCAGCTTCCCGTGGGCAGTGTTTGCTCTGCCTGCTGCAGGACTTTGGCTGCTCTGGGATCCTTTGGCACAGGAAATGCAGGCTTGGTGCCCCCGTGCTGGCCCGGAGTGAAGGGAACACCCTGCAATGCTCACGGCTCAGTTTTAGGAGCTGGCTGGCTTTGTGCTGCCCTCACAGGCTGCACAGGGGATGAGCTGAGCACCTTTTGGTGGCTTCTAAGCGTTAATGGTGGACAGAGGTGGTTTTCTGAGTGGCAAATGAGTGGGTTTGCCACGTTTGCGACACATGGGGCTGCTGGCACTGATGGGCCTTGCCAAAAATCAGGAGGAGAAGGCAAAAAAAATGAGCAGGAGGGGAGCTGAAAGGCACCTGATTGCTGTGGGTGACTGGGAGCCAGGGGTTGCATCCCAGCTGGATGCTCTGGTGACTTCACAGCACTGGTCCAGAGTGGATTGGGGATACAGGAGGGATGTGCTGGGGAGTTCATGGGATGCTCCAGTTCCACCTCTCCATTACAATTTCTCCTGTCCCAGCACAGGATGCCCACTGGAGTTCATTCTCCTTAGACCCCAGGGCCAGGAAAGCTCTGGGGAATCCATCCAATCTGAGGTGGGTCATCCCAATCCCGGGGAGCACCTGATGGTGCTCCTGTTCCCCCCAAGGCATCCCACTGGGGATGCTGTGGGGACAAGCAGAGGCTCTGATGTCTCCCAGGGGGCTGGGCAGGCACCTGAGTTCAGGGTGTTGGTGTTATTTGGGATGTGTTTGCATAGGAAGCCCTGTTGCTGCCTCTCTTGGAAGTATTCAGAGCATCAATCCCCCTCCAGCCAAGTTGTCCTTTACCCCAGAGTTGCCTCCATAAGTGTGGGTCTGGATACAGAGAAAAAGCTGAATATGCTGCAAACTACCCCCAAAAGGGGCCTTTTCCCAGTGCCACCCCTCTCTGGGAGCCTGGAGGGTGGTGGGACTCACCTCTGGCCACCCAGGGATCTCGCTCTGCCCACTCCTGGCAGAGCACAGCCCCGCTCCCCGCTCAGCCTTATCTCAGCACAGCACAAATGCAAACAGCAGAGCTGCTCCAGTGCAAGCCATGAGGCTGCTGTGGGCCCTGGCAGGGCAGGGCACAGTGGAGAGGCAGCTCAGCTCCTGGGCTCTCCAGTGCCTGTGGACACCTTCCAGCAGGGTCCAGCCCAGGGTCCTGTCCCCCCGTCCTGCACACTCGGCCTGTTCTGCAGCCACGAGGTGAGTTGGGCTTTGTCTCCAAACCTGGGGGGGTTGTAGGATGGGAAAGCAGCAAGGAGCCCCTTGGTTTGTGTCAGAAGGGCTGCACTAATTCATCTGCCATGAATACCATCTATTCTTGCACAGGTTTTCCATCTGCAAGCGCTTCCCAAATGTGCCTGGTGCTAAATCCGGGAGGAAGTTGGCTTTGGAGCACAGGCACGTGCACTGGCTTGGTTGTAGCTGTGATTTCCTTGAGCAGGTTTTGTAAAGACACAAAACTAAACGGGTGTGGGGTCCAGCAGTGCTGTTTGTGTGGCAATCAGGGACTGCCAGGGGGTTATTCCCAGAAATGGGGAGTCATCCAGCTGGATGGGTGCAGACCCTGTGGTTCTCAGAGGAAAGCTACAGCACTGGGAATAGCCAAGAGGATGGAGGGCTCTGTCTTGAATCCCAAGGGATGCCCAGGAGCTGTGGGAATGAGGATTCAGTGGCAGTGGAGTTTGCCAGGGGACTCTGAGCCGTGCAGTATTTGCCTGGGGTGCATAAAGTGTAATTTGTAATGCAGGGGACTCGCTTGGGAGAGTCTAATACTGAAATCAGCTCTGAACTCGAGGGCTGGGCAAACTGGTATTTAAAAAAACCTTCTTTTTGGTAAATGAGGACAAGTCTCAATCCTTGTTCAAGCTGATCCCAAGTCCCTGTGGGGCTGGTTGTGCCCCGTGGGCCGTGCTGGGTGGGGGATCCCTTTGGCCACAGCGGGGACTCCAGTGTTGGTGGGGCTGGGATGTGCAGGGGGTTAGGGCTGCCAGCACCCCAGCAGGAGGATTTATTGAAAAATCCCCCTGTATTCCCAGCTCCTGTGTCCCAGGGACACCTCAAAGGAGTTATCACACAGCACTGGTGCACACTGTAGTAATCTCCCTTGTAGTCTCATCCTGGACCTGAATGTGGAAATTGCCTTCCCCCCCTAAATATCTCTTTCCAAGATGGACCACTGAGCCAGCACAGCATCCACCACATCCTGGCAAGCATCCCACTCCTCCCACTCCTCCCATTCATCCCACTCCTTCCCCTCCTCAGGGTGATCTATTTAATGACCAGGATTTATTCTGAACACTGGGCTCTGCAGTGCCTTTAATGGAGCAGGGAAGAGAACATTTGATAACAGCAGCCTCCGGGTCAAATGTGCTGAGAATTCAAAACTGGCCACGGAGGGGTTTGGGAAAACCATCCAAGCAAAACCATTTCCTGGAATGAGCTGCTGAAGATTCTCCTCCCAAGGCACAGGGCAGGGATCTGCTGGAGTGGCTCCTTATTCTCCCCCCCCCCCCAATTTGCAAATAAAATGCCTCCTGGACTGGTTTAAGTTTGAAGGACTTTTGGCAGCATGGCTTTGCTGGGATGCTTACAAAGATCTGAGCCCTCAGACCTGTCAGCCAGCAAAGAGGGAATATGGATCCAGTAATGGGAATGTCCTGATGGTCCCAGTTCCAATGAGAGCAGAGCTGGGGTTTTCTGCTTCAAGAGAGTGGCACTGAAATGGGAAAAGGAACGAAAGGAGGGAGCTCCAGTGCCTGGTCTGTGCTGGAGCAGTAGCAGGGATGGTTTACAAGGGCATGGAGTGACAGGACAAGGGATGGCTTTAAATTGAGAGGAGGTAGGATTAGATGGGATATTAGGAAGAAACTCTTTCCTGTGACAGTGGTGAGGGACTGGAATGGAATTCCCAGAGAAGCTGTGGCTGCCCCATCCCTGGAAGTGTCCAAGCCCAGGTTGGACGGGGCTTGGAGCAACCTGGGCTAGTGGAAGGTGTCCCTGCCCATGGCAGGGCGTGGGATGAGATGAGCTTTAAGGTCCCTTCCAACCCAAACTATCCAGGGATTCAGAGCTGGGTTTAGGGAAAAAAAACCCAGAAGCCTGAAAATCTGGGCCAGGTGAGATGGGTGATGGAGCAGCCAGGGAGCAACTTCTTCTTTCTGTTTTCTTTTCCAATGCCAGGAGTAGGTTGGCACCACCTGTCTGAGGCAGAGGCAGGAGGGGAAGGTGGAGGGAAATTTTGTCTTTTGAGCACTGTGGTTTAGTTTAGTCTCCTGCTGCTGTGGAGCTGGGCTGGGCTGAGCAGGGTGACACAACTGGGCATCCCCAGGGCTGTGTCATCCCAGCCTTGGGAACACGGCGGATCCAATCCCTGGGTATTTGCTCTCCATTCCCTGTCTTCTGCTCAAATTTCACGTGTGCAGGGAGGCCCTGAGTGCTGCCTCTCCCAGCAGAGTGCTGGGACAATGAGAGACAGTGGGAATACAATAGGGAAAATTATCACAGAATTATATAGAAAGACCAAATGGTTTGGGCTGGAATGGACCTTAAAGCCCATCCAGTGCCACCCTCTGCAGGGACACCTTCCACTAGCCCAGGTTGCTCCAAGCCCTGTCCAACCTGGCCTTGGACACTTCCAGGGATCCAGGGGCAGCCACAGCTTCTCTGGGAATTCCATTCCAGTCCCTCACCACCCTCACAGGGAAAAATTTCTTCCCAATATCCCATCTAAACATGATCTTTTTTATTACTACTAACAAAAAAGCAGCATTCCCCCCTCTGCAGCCTGCTTTGTGCAGCAGATTGTACCCAGGACCACACTGGTGCCTGGTGGCTCCAGCTTTGTCACCCACTTTACCCCTGGCATCTTCTCCCACGCCGTGCTGGGAATCTGGGATGTGATGGGAAACTCGATGGAAAACAACCCAATCTGCTGTGCAGCACGGAAAGGAGCAATGAAGGGAACAGGCACAGCTTTAATATTTCATGTGATGAGATCCAGCCCTGAGAAATGGCTCAGGAGCTGCCACAGCTTGATGCTTGCAGGGGAATTTCCACGGGGTTTGTTGTGCTCTGGATTTATCTGTATTCTGGTGGGGGACATGGAAATGCAGCTCATTAATTACCTGAACACACAGAGCTCTGTTTCCTCCCATTCCCTTTAATCAGTCAGGTTTTGGACACTTCCAGGGGCCTCTTGGACGCTGGGTTGGCATTCCAGGTGTGTCCCCTCTGTGGGAGCCTGGCTGCTGATCCCAGGTGGCATTTCAGGAGGGAATGTCCTGTGTCACAGCCTGTCCAACGGTGCAGAGCAGATTCCATGCAGGAACCCCTGGGGCTGTGCAGGCTCCTGGTCTGGTGGCACCAGGAGTGAGGAGCTTAGTCTGGCTGATGTGGGCACGAGATGGGTCTCACCTAAAACCTGTCCCTTCTTTGTCCCTTTAGGTGGCTCCCACAGCTTCCCTGGGACTGAGGTTCAGGTGAAGCAGAGCTGGTTTTCCCCTGTGCATCAGTGTCTGCCTCCAGAAATCCCTTTGCATGCTCCAGACAGTTTGGGTGTCTTCACCAGGGAGCTGGACTTCAAGGGAGCCTGAACGTCAGCACGAGGGCAGAAAAAGGAGCTGGAGATGTAGATTCCTCAGAACTGTCCTCCAGGTAGGTCCTGATTCCTTGCTTGTATGGAACCACCCACCTTCTGTCCTTCCAGCTGCCTCTCCCTGGTCCCTCAGCAGACTGATCCCTGCAGGACCCCTCCCATCCTTCAGGGCTCAAGTGGGAGCAGAAGGGCGTGGCTGGGAAAAGGGCTTTGGTGCCTCCATGCTGATGTTTTAGCTTAGGCTGACACCCCCAAACTCTAATCATGACCTTCTCCCTGCTACTCTCACAGCCCCCTGGCCACCTAATTCCACAGATTCCCTGGGTATCTCCTGCTTCTGGACAAGCACGTGCTGGGATGATGCTGCAGAGCTTGTACACCAACCTGCCCGGGGGTCCTTGCCCTGGCATGGATGAGGTGAACTTTCTCACCCTGCTCTCCCTGGGCCCTTCCTCCCTCTCTGCCAACCCAATGAAGATGTGCCATGAGGCACAGCTGCCTGTCCCTCCTCCAAGGCCTTTCCTTATTCCCCTTCCCTAGCTGGGAATGAGGAGGTGGGACCCCAAAACTTCAGCCCAGAGATGCAGCACCCTGAGAGAGCTGGTCCCCGGGCCTGTCACTGTCCAAAGCCAGGCCCTACCATTTCCCAGTCCTGCTGAGTAAGAACTGGCATCTCCTTGTGCTGTTCCTTGTCTCTCCCCAGCATCCATGCCGGAGGCATGTCCCCAGACGCCCCGGGAAAGCAAGAATGTTGAGGAAAATCCAGATATGCCTCTGCTTCTGCTTTGTCTCGGGCATCTTGTACGAGATCTCTCTACTGTCCAGCTGCGTCTTCAACTACCTGCCCATGTCCCAGCACTACCTGACACCTGAGCAGGTGCTGAACCTTGGGAAGAGCATCATTTTCCTGGAGACCACGGAGCGCCTGGAGCCTCCCCCGCTGGTGTCCTGCTCCGTGGAATCTGCTGCCAGGATCTACCAGGACAGGGCCGTCATCCTCTTCATGAAGGGGCTCACCAACGAGACGGCCTTGGACCTCAACACCAGCTATGCAGCCTTCTCACTGCTGTCTTCTATGAAGAATGTCTTCATTTTTCCTCTCCAGATGGAAACTGTCTTCCAGGAGACCCCTCTGCTCCAGTGGTACAACCAGGTGAGTGTTGTAACAATGGGAAAATAGGAAAACAACCATAAACAGGGGTGAGAAAAGGCCTGAAGTTGGGTTAGAGGGAACGAGGAACACAGGACTGGCTGTGTGAAATTACTGGTTTTATTTTTTGGTTGGGAATAGATTCACTTTGGTTGTGTTTTGCCATGTATTCATCAATCTGTTTACTGAACACATCACCGGCTGGGTTCAGCTTTCCCCCTTATCTGGAGAATGAGATATTTTTTGGCAGAGGAAACATTGATAAAAATAGATTTCATACATGTTTCGAGAAAATGGCGCTTAATAATCTTCCCCAACAGAAGCTGGTCGAACAAAACGTGCTGCCTGAGCTCTTGCTGATGCTGCCACACACCGACAGAACCTGCAGCAGATACCATGGGGGACAGATTTCAGGTTCTATAGCAGCAATGTGCAAAGCCAAGGTGGGATTTTAGGAGCTCCACCCTGGAAAAAGTTCTGGCAAAGTGCTTGAAAGCAGCTTTTCTCAATTCTGTTGGGCAGGGCAGGCATATTTCCTCCAAACCCTTTCTTCTCCCGAGAAAAAATGACTCCAAACGCCAACAATGCCAGTGAGGAGCCCGGTTCAAAGAGCTGGGAGTGCTCTGGGAGTGTGTTAAGTGGGTTGTGTCCCACTGGAACAGCAGCAGTGACTCATGGCAGCGTTGGTTTAACTCTGTAGGTCCCATCCAACCACCTGGGAAAGGCTCCTGCTTCCCTTTGTGTTAACAGAGCTTTGCTCCTTTTCTTATCCCAACGAAATCCAGGGGCTGGAGCAGCAAAGGTGGGCAGGGACATTTGCAGGGGCAGTTTCACACCCAAAGGAGGGATGAGATCCCTTCTCTGATCTCCTCAGAGATGAGATCCCTGCTCTGATCTCCTCAGAGATGAGATCCCTTCTCTGATCTCCTCAGAGATGAGATCCCTTCTCTGATCTCCTCGTCACCGTCTCCCCTTCCCAACCCCGCAGGTGGTCCCGGAGCAGGAGAAGAACTGGGTGCACGTCAGCTCTGATGCCAGCAGGCTGGCACTCATCTGGAAGTACGGAGGCATCTACATGGACACGGACGTGATCTCCATCAGGCCCATCCCCGAGCGCAGCTTCCTGGCGGCGCAGAAGTCACGGTTCTCCAGCAACGGCATCTTCGGCTTCCCCGCCCGCCACCAGTTCGTCTGGGACTGCATGGAGAACTTCGTCCTCAAGTACAACGGCAACATCTGGGGCAACCAGGGCCCCTTCCTGATGACCAGGATGCTCAAGACCCTCTGCAACCTCACGGATTTCGAGGGCACCGAGGACCACAGCTGCCAGAACATCTCCTTCCTCAACCCCCAGCGCTTCTACCCCATCCCGTACCCGGCCTGGGGCAGGTACTACCAGGTGTGGGATGAAAGCCCCAACTTCAACCACTCCTACGCCCTGCACTTGTGGAACTTCATGAACCACAACAGGAAGGCCGTGGTGGCCGGCAGCAACACCCTGGCTGAGCAGCTCTACAAGGCCTATTGCCCCAGCACCTACGAGGACCTGATCCAGAACGCCAAGCACAGGGACTCCACGGGCTCTGAGGAGGATGTGTGACAGGGGCTGAGGAGGAGAGGGGTGATCCTTCCAGCCCTCCCCGTGCTGGGCCCAAAACACAGTCACCATCGGTGTCCACACCTGGCTTTGCAGGGGGAAGAAAAAACTTTCCATAACCACCATCCCCATTCCCTTGGAATGCTGAGGGTGGTGGTGGGTATCCATGGGATGTTGCCTCCAGGGACACTAAGGACACCTTTGCCTCAGTTCTGCTTCCCGAGAGGTGCTCATGAACCAAACCTTCCTGAATCAAAGGGCCTTTGAGCCTCCTAGTGAGCTTCTCCAAGGGAAAAGTTCCTACAGAGATGCGTGGCCTCCTGGGAGGAATTTTATCTCCACGCTGTTGGCAGCTCCCACCTCAGAAAAGCTGGAAACACAGCAGGCTTTGACTGGGCTGAGGCCTCTGAGGCAAATGAGGGTGGATGACAGAAATTTCTACTGAAGAGAAGCCCAACCCACTGCCTTCTCACTGTGTTGTTCTCACATGAACTTTACCCCCTACGTTTTTGAGAGGGACATTTCTAGTACAAGTGAAAATAAAAGGGTTAAGAAACCACCACTCCTCTGAGCTTGCTTCTCCCTGGAAAGTGAGTCACGTTTTCCGAATGCCTGTGCTCCTGCACTTTTACTTTGGCTTTTGCCACGGAGGGGCTGTGCTGCCCCATCTTCCCGGGTCACTTCTGGCTGTAGAGCCACACATGCCTGGAAAGGAGATGCTGAGGCACCAAAGAAGAGTGGGGATGGTCCTCCAGGGTTTCCCAAATCCCTTTGAAACAAATGGAGTTCAACTGACATGACATGAGGTGGCAACCCATGTCCAGCTGTGCAAAAATCCCCACTGAATCCCACCAGGGCACCTGGAGACCTTCTCTACCACAGAGCAAAGCATCCCCCAGCAGTTCCTTTCCTTCCCAGGGAGATGCCAATCCAGCCCATTCCTTAAAAAGAAGCCCAGCTTGCGAATCCTCTCCCGAGTCTGTCTGAGCAGCTGTTTTTAGCTTGGGAGCAGAAAGGCGGGGGTGGATCAGTCACCCTCATCCAATGTTTGCCATCTGCACAATGTTATCTCCTGTAAACACTGCAGCTAATGAGCCTCTGCAGCCAGGAATGCGGGATTGATCGGGATTTATCAGGAGAAGGGAGCCCTCTGCACACAGGCCTCTGTGCTGGGCTCAGGGCTCCAGGCTCCCTCCAGCCCCGTGTTCCCCCAAAACCAGCCCAGCTGCACCAGGAAGGGCAGGGGGAGCCGAGCTGAGAGCTGAGGGTGGGGAAGAGCCTTGATTTGGAGCCGTGGGAGGATACTGAGGGCACTTGGTGTGTTCAGCTGGAGCAGAGGAGGCTGAGGGGAGACCTCACTGCAGTTCCAATTGCCTGGGCAGGGGCAGAGGAGGGGCAGGGACTGAGCTCTGCTCTGGGGAGACCAGGGACAGCACCCAGGGAATGGCTGGAGCTGTGTCAGGGCAGGCTCAGGTTGGATCTCAGGAAAAGGTTCTTCCCCCAGAGGCTGGTTGGGCACTGCCCAGGCTCCCCAGGGCAGTGGGCACAGCCCCAAGGCTGCCAGAGCTCAGGGAGGGTTTGGCTGATCCTCTGGGGCACAGAGGATGACTCTTGTGGATGTTCCTGTGCAGGGCTGAGGGTTGGCCTGGATGGTCCTGGTGGGGCCCTTCCAGCTCAGCAGATTTTGTCATTCCATGATTCTGTGGTTGGAGCAACAACATGGCATGGGGGGATATTTTTCCATTCCCTTTCCTGGGATGAAGCTCTCGTGGCTCAGCCCTGGGGCCACGAGTTTCCTGCTCTGGTTCCATCCCCACTGGTTCAGCTTTGCCCCACACTCCACCCCAGCTGGATGTTCCTGCCTGTGGCAGCAGGATCTGCTTTTCCTCCAGGACTTTGACTTTACAGTGCTGAGGGGATGCAGGGGAGGGTCACAGTCCTCCCTGTTTCCCCCACAGCTCCAGGCAGCCCCTGGCTGGTCCCTCCTGCCTCTCACCCCCCACACTCATCTCTCTGCTTCCGTCCTCATCTCTCCTCTGCAGTTTATAGCTCAGGCTCTGGAAACAAGTGAGTATTTGCCTCTTGTGCTCCATGACTCGACTGTCCCGACTCCCCTGTGTCTGTCAGGGGAGGGACAGGGCTGGGGGACAGGCAGAGGCTTCCCTGCCCAACATGAGCTCAGGGGAGAAACATTTCCAAGGCTCTGCTGTGGCTCCTCTCCAGGTGAGTCCAAGCCCATCCCTGACAGGAGGGGAGAAATCCCGGCAGGGCTTGGAGCCCAGCAGGGCTGATGGCAGCAAGCACAACCACTCTTCCTGCAGGTCTCACATGGGGGCTGTGTCCTGCTCCCACCCCGTGTGAGTCCCAGGAGGAGAAGTTGACAAAGAGAGGGAGGTGCTGGATGCTTTTGGGAAGGGTCTGGAGGAGGTGGGGAAGCAGTCCATGCACAGTCTGGGTCTCCTGACCCCTCTGTGCTTCGTGGTAAAGTGCCTCCCAAGGTCTGCTGGCTCCCAGCTGGGCAGGGAACAGAGGGGTTGTGGCACCTGGGGCACCCTTTGGCTTTGCAGGGAGTGGAGAAGCTCCTGAGGAGTTCAGGAAGGTAAGGACACAAGTGTGTGGGGGGGAAATGTGGGAGAGAAGGAAACGAGGAGAAATTTCCCTGCCAAAGGCTGAGGGGTTGCAGAGAACAACCAGAAACTGGGAGCTGGGACAGCAAACACAGCATCTTCCAGCCTGGAAAATGAAATCCCATCCTGATTTCTGAGAGCCAGGAATAGCAGCACTGTGGAAGAGCAAGGGTTCCCACAGGGCAGAGGGAATGGTGCAGGGACCACCTCCAGCTCCAGGATCTGCTGGAGGTTCCAGCTGACACCTCTGAGAGCACCTGCTGACAGAATCACAGAATGCCTTGGGCTGGAAAGGAGCTGAAAGGCCATTTAGAGCAGCACATCATTGGGGGATTTTGAATTCATGGTCCCTGCAAACCCTTCCCCCTTAGGGGTGGTTAATTCAGGCCAGAAATCCTCCCCTGCAGGGACACACCAGGTCTGTGCCACACCCAGCTCTGGGGCAGGGCTGCATTTACACCTGGATGGGCTGATCCCCCAGCGTGGGCATTCCTGGGGGTATTCTGCCCCTCAGGGGAGACCCCCCTGCAGAGCTGCTCCAGCCCTGGGGAACAGCACAGGGAGGACATGGAGCTGCTGGAGAGAGTCCACAGGAGACCCCAAGGTGGTCAGAAGGCTGGAGCAGCTCTGCTGGGAGGAAAGGCTGGAGAGTTGGGATTGTTCAGCCTGGAGAGAAGCTTTGGGGTGACCTGATTGTGGCTCCCCAACGCAGACAGGAACCAGAAAAGCCCTAAAACAAAGGGGGGCTCCTGGCAAATATCCAAGGAGTCCATGGTGACCCCAGCCCTGAAGGCTGTGTGCCCTTTGACACCCTCAGCCAGTGGCTGTGACAGGGGAGGGTTGTTCTCCAAGGGCTGGAACCAGAGCTGTGCCAGCCTCGGATCCCCAAGGGACAGACCAGTCCATGTGGGAAAAGCAGGTGTGGATGGATCAGGGCTTGCTTTTGCTCCGGGGCCTCAGCTCCTTTCTGAGCATCACAGGGTCCTCCCCCCCTGCAGGGACCCAGCAGGTGACCAAAGTGGGGGCTGATGGAGGTGGGCACTGGAGCTGGGACCATCCCTGTCCCGAGAGTGCCGGGATGAGGCTGGAATGTGGCTCGGGTTGTTGAGTGGTGAGGAAGGGAGGGGTGCTGGGGGCACAGGGGTGAGGGGCTGAGCTCAGGCATCCCCTCCCTGTGCAGCTCCATGAGCAGCCCAGCTGCCAGCCCTTCCCCTGGGAGAGCCGTGCCAGGGGGCTGGGGTGGGGTTTGGGGTGAATTGTGGGATCCCTGGGGTGGGGTTTGGGGTGAACTGTGGGCAGGAATTAATCACATTGCAGGAGGAAGCTGCTGCTCTGCAGAGGGGGGTGTTCTACTGAGAGCAACCACTTCCTTGCTCTGGGACTGGTGGGATCCTTCCCCCTGTTTTGGACATGGGAGTCCCAGCAGCCCCTCCCAGTCCTCCCTGCACTGGTCCCAGCACCACCCTGAGTCCAGCCAGGGAGGAGCCCCGCAGGTGGGAAGCAGAGGCTGCTGAAGGCTCTGCAGGGAACCTCAAACCTCCTGCAGCAGTTTTGCCCCGTCCTGGAGGACGTGCTGGAGGAAAAGCCGGAGAAGAAGGAGGCCAAGAGGGTGAGTGTGTCCTTCAGTGCCAGCCCTGAGCTGGTGCAGGGCCACAGAAACTCCTCTGAAATTATTATTTTTATTTTTATTTTGGGGGGAGGAGCAACCAAAACATCAAAAATACACCCACGTGGAGCAACCCCCCTCTGAGAGGAAAATGGGATGGCAGAGGCGGAATTACACAGGGATAAACCCCCTTCTCCCACCTCTGAGCTGGGTTATTCGTGTCTCTCCAGCAAATCTTCCTCCCAGGCAGCCTTTCCTGTGCTAAATTACCCTTCTTCGAGGGCAGGAGGGTGTTGGAGGGCACAGCAGCCCCTGTCCCGAGGCTTTCAAGGAGACTTTCACTGTCCAAACCCCTTTTCACGCCGAGCCCATGGAGCGGTGCCTCCTACCAGCATTCCCAAGCTCCCGGCGATGCAACACCCCCCCCTAGCACCCGGCAGAGCTGCTGCAGGGGCCGGGCAGGGAGCACGGCGGGGTCCATCCATCCCTGCCCCAGAGCCAGGCACAGTTCCCGGTTCGGGTCCCAAAGCACGAAGGAAAAGCGGTGACTCCAGGATTTTTTTTACATTGTTCCCTGGAGATGCTTTTAAGGAGCATTCCTGGTTTTTTTTTTCCATGTAGGCTGGAGCACTGGCACAGCCCCTCCTGCCCTGGCACGTCCTTTGGGAACACTGAGGGGGTGTGGAAGGCAGCAGAGGTGCCCAAAGCTGGACCCACAGACACAGACCCCACCTGACCCTTCACTTCCCATATTTTACATCCCTACAAGTCCAGGACATTCATGGTCCCAAAACCTCCCAAGAGAAAATGCTGCCCAGAGCCTGGAGCCTAAAAAATGCCCCAAAATTGCAGAGATTTGTCTTCAGTCATTTCCCAAAGCAATTGGGGGCTCTTTGCCTGGGAGCTGTGCTGGGAATAGGGTGGGTATCAGGGCTGGTGGGAAGTTTGGGGTTTGGGCAGGGCTTGGAGCTCGAGGGATGCTCCTGAGATTGGGGTGATGGTGCTGAGGGGTTGTCTCCTGTCCTGGGGGAGGACAAGGTCAGGCTCCTTGGCCACCCTCTGCTCCAGGTTGTGCAGGGAATCCCCACTGGGACCTGCAGGAGACTCCAGGCTCTGGTCAGGCTCAGGAACAGGAGGCTGAGGAATCCCCTGCTCCCTCCTCCTGAGGGATGAGCTGGTCCCCATGCTGGGGGCAGTCAGGCCATACAAGAGGCCCAGCAGAGCTTTGCCTGAACAGCTCTCCACTATCCCAGTGAGGTGCCCTCCTGTCCCCTCACACCCTGAGCGTGGGCACCTCTGGCCACCCACTGATGGCCATGGGATGCTGTGCCCTGCCCCGGTGGGCAATGCCCCAGAAATGCCCCCCA